TAATTGCTCCTGTTGCATTATTGGCGTGAGAATTTGTCGGCAATTTGACTCACCTATGTTGTAACAGAAAGCGTTGTCCGTTCGCCTCCCACGTGGCTGCTTTCTTTGCTCAGGCACATTCTTCGCACTGGGTTAGTAGTACTAGATCTTTCACCAATATTGTTTCAACAAGTCTCTACATTGGTGTATCTCTTCTTACCGTAAATTTCCGAAACCTGGCTTTTTTTAATCGTAGAATTGGGCCTACGCACATTAAAATTAAAGGATTGTAACTAAAACGAGAAACAGAACGGTGGTGAGATATAAATAAGTTAGGGCAACAAATTAATATGACAACTTTCAAAATGCAAAAAACGCTTTTCAGATACAAAATACTGCTAGTGTTTGAGTTAATGATCTGTATGCCTAAGCATTGCGAAAGATAATACTTTCTCCTATATTTCATTTTTTCGAGCGTTTTCTCAGACTTAGCAGACCATATTCTCTTAATGCGGCGTGGTCTGTATTACGCATCAACCTATAACTTGTCCATGACAGTCAACAAAACCACCGCTTTTGTGAAGAGGGAGTAGTAGTTGTTTGTGGACGGTTTTTTAAAGTTCAACAGACTTATGCAGCATCTAACCCACTAACACACCTAAAACACTTTCTTTCCCACTTCCCCTGTTTTGGCGGCAAGAGAAGATCAAGATGACCAGAGTTGGAGATACGATCACAGCGTTGACAAATCTGGTCAGCTCGTATACCCGTGCCAGACTTAAATGAAGGTGTCGCCGGTCGCACATATTCAGGATCGGCTATATAGGCCACATCAAGTAGGAGGTCTCGAAGTCCGATACTTAGGCCGTTATAAAACCGACTTATACCGTCAATTCGCAACTTTCAAGGCCACAACTCTTAATATGTTCTGACATTTGCCAAGCGTGCGTTGTTGTCTAAATGGGTGAAATTGTTCGGTATACCCGAGTCGGATTGACCACACCTTTTCTTCCTTTCCCAAGACACAAAGCATCTCTTAGAATTTAACCGACGAGCAATGGGCTTTGGCTACCGTAATAAGAAGTCGTCATCTATCGTGTGCCACACGCGTGGTTGGATCGTACATACGCGAAAGTTGCTATAAAGGCCACTCTACGAAGAAGCCATGGCAGTCTGATCCCCAGTCTCTGAGTATAAGTGATGGAGGATATTTTAGTGATTGTTATCGTGTATGCGCACATCACTGGATAGGCCCATTGGCTAAAGGAATTTACGAATGCAATGTGAACAAAATAGGCGGGTGTGATGGGTGGTAATCGAGGCTTTAGGCGCGGATTCTCCATTTGAGTAGCAATGGATTAGCATTTACTCGACCAGGCTGACAAGTAAATGGAGGGCGTGATTATCGTGGGGGACAAGTAGGCATTGTGCTTATTTTACTCGTGGTTGCGCTCTGTGTCTTAGCAATGTCTCCATAGTGGTGGCTACGAAGTTAAATTTTTCACAGAATAGATAGGTGGCGTAGGCCAGGCTGCAGCCGTTCCTATAACGGCACTTTTGTATGAAATCCGGACACGAATGTGACACATGG